CAAGTAGTTTCTTGTAAGGCGAGAATTTCAACATGGTTAGACAAAGTGGGAACTAAGGTCTACTTAGTTGACCTCCAAGATATTGCGGTGCCTCCAACAGTAAAGACGTAACCTATTAGAGGTCAGATAAGTAACTTGCGTTGGCATAACCAACAAGGCGAGAATCGACTCCAGATAGGAGGTGTGGCATCATTCAAGGATTCGTAGGGATAATACATGCCCAAATCCATAGTACCCTTAAGGTAATGGAAGATGTCTTTAACACCATTCCAGTGTCTGCATGTTAGTGCATTACAGTATATTTCTAAAAGATTAACAACGAAAGAGATGTCGGGTCTAGTGCATTGAGCTAAGTACAATAAAGTGCCTATCGAATTAGATAGAAACTTTAGCTCCAAAATCTCCTCATCATCCTTCTTCGGATGGAAGGGATCTCATTTTGCATCTAGCAATTGTACGACCATAGAAGTACTCGAAGGCTTTACTTTATCTTTATTAAAGTTGCACAACACCTTCTGGGTATAGTTCAATTCATGTGCTAAGATTTCATCCGAATAGTGGTCTATCTAGAGATCAAGATAGTATTGAGTCTTTCCTAGATCTTTCATCTCAAATTCCGATTTCAGGTGCAGGGCTGTTTTCTCAAGCTCTTTAGGAGTTCCGATAAGGTTTATGTTGTCGACATAAACTACAACAATCGTAAAACCGGAATGTGACTTCTTAATGAACACGCAAGGGCATAATTTGTTGTTCACATATCCCTGACTAGTCAAATACACACTTAAATGGTTATATCCCATTCTTCCATTTTGCTTCAAACCGTAGAGTGAACGCCTTAGCCGATTGAGAGTGTGTCCCGGGGTTTGGAAATATTTGATCTAGTCAATGTAAGTCCTTCGGGAACTTTCATATAAATTTCCGTATCAAGATCCCCATAAAGATACATAGTTATTACGTCCAGTAGCTGCATACTAAGTTTTTCGGAGACTACCAAATTGATAAGGTAGTGAAAAGTAGTCACATCCATAACGGGTGAATAAGTTTCATCATTGTCAATCCTGGGGCGTTGTGAGAAACCTTGCGCAACAAGATAAGCTTTATAATGCACAATTTTGTTCTTCTCATTACACTTCTAAACAAAAACCCACTTGTAACCAATAGGCTTCACATGTGGAAGAGTAGCTACTAAGATCCAGTTTGACCAATCAGTTCTACGTCGACATTTATTAACGAAACGGGGTTTAATGTCATTGCTCAACATGATCTCAATAGCTACTGCATATGCTAATGCATCGTTGATAATCATCTCACTTCTACACCAACACATCATCCAAGCTAGCATAATGGACCGAAATCTCTTGATTCTCGGAAGGTGGATTTGTCTCTTCAATGACGCTTCTGTAATCTAGATTTTCTTCATGAGTTAGATAGAATGAGTAGGCGAAAATCCGATTCACTGTAGGCTCAACAGCCTATGTTGTGGTTTCCTCTTCTAGGGCATGAATCCTTTGAACCAAGAGGTCTGCCACACTTTTGTGTAGAGGTAGAGGATGAGCTAGCAGGTAATGTATGTGGATCGGCCAAAATGGCGTCCCGGGCCTCCAAGAGGGAAGTCTGTCATACATTTGGTACATCCATCTTTGCAGACACATTTGTAGCTGGAATATGTAAAAGCATCTGGCATAGTTAGATTGTGTTGATAAACACCCCACTGAAATGCAAAGACAATTCGTACCATGAGTCAACTTACCATTCATGTTTCAAGCACATAAGTTTATCATATACAATCCTTAAATAGTTAGATTGCGAAAACAACATCTTCATAAGAGCAACTCGACCCCTAAAAAATAAGATGGCCCAAAGTCCATTTAATCCACCCAAATGAATAGTAATTGACTCCAATGAACTGTAATTGGCCAAGTGCATCTCCACTCTTAAAAAATGAGCTGGGCAAGAGTTTGGTCAATTCATATTAAAATATTATTAATTTTTTTTATAAAATAATAAAAAATAAATTTATTTTTGATTTCTGATAGAATTTTTAACCAATCTTGTCACGCCACGTTTCATTTTCTAAGAGTACAATTTTTGTGAAAGATGGTTAGGTATTTATATATATAAATTTTTTTTCTACATTTAAAAATAATTTTAAATAATTTTTTAATAATTTTTTTATTAAGTTAATTAATCTGGACCGTTGGATTTAAAAAAAAAAATCCAACAGCCCAAAAGTGTATGTGGCCCACGATAAGATTCTGAACCTTTGTTTTTTTTTTTAATGCTGGAACGCGCATGTATCCCATGTGCTAGGAGCAAAAGTACTTGAAGATACATCTTTTTAAACCCAGTAAATTATCGAGGGCTTTCTAATCTTGCGCATAAATTATACAAGAAATCTCCCTCTTCGAACTTATTGGAGAATCCACTTGTGCAAGGTGGCCAGTATTAATTCCTCCAGGGGAGCTCCATCAACATCTGTTGGAATAACCAACTTTTATCAACTTGTCCCAAATGTAACGACAGATATAATCTATATGATGAAAAGCATGGCAACATTAACCAATCAGTATATACCCATAAATAATATACACCTGTAAGGAAGGAGAGATTTCAGCGTATTCGATACACGGAATAATACATCACGTATCACTATATAAATAGTGGGATATGAGTATTAAAAAATTAATAACTTAAAAAATAAAATTTCTGATCACTTATATAAAAACAGGTGATGTACTACTCTTGTTCCAGTCACAATGAAAAATTTCTCGTAGGGAAGAAACAAAAAGCAAAAGCACAATTTTCATTGCCCAATCGGTGTATACTAAAAACTAATAAACATCCGTAAAGGGTCAGTATATATTCACACTTCATTTCCTAAAGTAGTCAACTTCATTCTAGTAAACAGACAAATCATCAACTTTCTGACGTTGGTCCCATGAGGCCAAGACTAATCACGCGTAACGTTCCAACTTATCCAATGAAGGAGCACTTGTGAGGTCTCCTAAGACAAAATGAGATAGTCAAGAACTTCGCTTGAGTTCTACTAAGCTTCGGGTAGTAGTTTTTTTATTAGAAAAACTAATGAAAAAGGTTTCAAAACTTTAAATTTTAATAAAAAAACCACCTAATAACTTTATTTAATGATAAGGACAAGAGATTAAAAAGAAGAAAAACATAAACTAATCCAACCAAAGCACGTGCAATGCACGCCAAGCAATTCATTAGAGTGAGAACCGAAGAGAACCATGTGTAGTTTGTAGTGCAAAAGCTCATCACCTTCTTCAACCTTTTCTATCTCTCTTTACACATCCATATTCAGCCCTTTCCAAGGGACTTGCTTCATTAAATTCAGATAAAAGTTAGAAAATGGTGGGTTACAATACCAAATGAGGCGACTTGCTTCATTAATTTTGGGTTGTGGGTGACCAAAATTCATGTGGGTATTTTTGTATGCGTAAATGGAGAGAGAAGGTTGAAGAAGGTGAACAGAAAAAAGGAAGGGAAAAGATGACTCAGTTTGTGTGGAAAAAAAAAATTAAAGGAAAGTCAAATAAATTGATTGAGAGGAATGTCAACTAACAAACATGAATGTGACAGTACTAGTTACGAAATAGTAACTAGAATTTGGGTGGCTTCAATTCTCCCTCCTTGGTGTTCCACCACCCCTATAATTGGTTGGGCTTTGTTCAGGGGCTCAAGGAGAGTCTAATGGTGGTGGAGATCGAGGAAATTCATTTCAGAAATAATGGATTTCGCCACCATGCACCGCGCACCCTCCGGTGCTATCTCACGAAAACGTGATCAATTCGTGTTGATTTATGGCTGAATATGGAAGAGGAGATGATGCTGAGTTGATTCCAGGTGGTGGGTGGTTGAAATTCGCCAAAGGAATGGTGCAAAACCATCGAAAAATCACACGAGGTGGCTGGGTTTTGAAACAGGTCGCGCAGGTTGAAGGGGAACCCAGCCGGTTCCTCTCCTTCTCTCTTTTCTCCTTTCCTCCCGTCTCTCCCTTTGATTCTTCCCCTCTTTCTTTCTCCTTCTTTCCTGATTGGGCAGCACCCCTCTTCTCCCCCCTTTCCTTCACTGCCATCAGGCAACCTCCTTTTTTTTCTTTTTTTTTTTTTTCTAACCACAACCCTTAAAATAATAACAATAATAATTCATAGCACATCATGAACAAATGACCAACGGAAATCAATACCCTCGCCTCTAGGGTATTCTCGTAAATTCACATTTTAAAATTTATAAAATAATAAAATTTGGAACAGGTTGTCACAATATTACTTGAAAAAAAATAAAAAAGATAAAAGAAAACAACAACTACAACAAAATCACATTCAAAATTGCAAAAATAGTGCCGATTACCTCCAAACGAAAATCTAATCAAAATATGAAAGACGATCACTCCAGTGAAATATTTAACCACGATGAACAACACTGATGATAACGATTCGAAAGTAGAATATCAAAACATGCAACCACTGCGAAACTGTTTTGAAACAAAAGATTGTTTTAGAAAAATCACCCTAACAGGAACGAAGAACAACGGCAATCATGATTTGAAAATACACTCTCCAAACATTCGTCGGCAAGCAACACTCATAGCATTCAACCATATTTGGAAAAAAATGACGAACACTGCAAAGAATGAAGAACTCTGCAACTATTCAATTAGTTAGGTTAAGCTAATTTCAAAATAACTAATCTAACAGAATAATTAATTTAGGTTAACTAAATCCGTTAGGGGTAAAATTGACAAATCATTGTGTTATTTTGGTTGGGTCATTTCATTTGGACTGATATAAAAGTGAGCTTTGTATTAACCATTAAATAAACTTACAATATGGTTTTTAGTTAAAAACTAAAGTTTTCAAGCTCTTTTGGTTAATTTTTCTTTAATTTATTGAGGTTTGATTATAATTGATATTTAACTAAAAACGCTCTCACTACCACGTAGTGTCATTACTCCATTTATGGGAGAGACCCGGTGAAGATAGCAATAAAATTTGCTGCATTGAGTTCAAATTGATGAGAAAGGCATGCCAGCCAAAGTTTCATACTTCATACTACATATAATACAATGTCCCACAACAAAGTTGAAATAATATAGAGAAGTCTGCAAGGTAGGGTTAGGGTTACGATGTTGCGACACCATAGCAGGTAAGAGTCATCCACTTTCACTAGTCTTCTTTAATTAAAGGGAATTGTTATTGACACTCCAAAAATCTCATTCTACACTCCAAACTTTTTATATTTTGAAGGAAAAATACACCTGTGAGGAATGTAGAATGAGATTTTTGGAGTGCCAGTAACAATTCCCTAATTAAAAACCGATTTCTAATTGATGCTTCTTTCAGCAGCCACAGTGAACCACCTTCAGTCCCAAAAGTTATTTGTTTCAAAGAAACCCATAGATTGATCAATGTACGCCTACATTCTTCCGCGCTAAGAAATAAATCCATGACAAAATTAATGGAAGTAGCTTGCCACACTTACCTAGGGGATCAAATAGTTTTACAGGAGACCCCTTCTCCACGACACAATCGAGGAATTGCAAAGACATGCCGCTAGTGAAATCTGGCGAAACATGTACCTGGTAGACTTTCAGCTCACCACCATCATTGCCTCGAGCAATATAAAATACATGTAATGAGGACCATTGTTACGCCTCCACCTGTTAGCACACAACATTCTAATAAACTGCAGTTGGGCATTCTGAAAGACGAGGCAAAGTATTAGACGCGTGCATCTAAATATTCACAACAGTTTTTGATAAAGAGAAACTATTTCTTCGTGAATAAAACATCATGGCAGTATGAAGAGATAAAACATGTGAAATCAAAGAGAAGAAAAAACATTTTGTCTTCACAAGTTACTGCTAAAGAAAAATAGATAGGGGCTAATAGAAGAACTACACACCCAGAAGAGCAACTTTTGCCAATTCATAAAATTAAAATCAATACAAACCTTTTGCTTGTTGAACTCTTGCGTGGCAAAACGGGCAACCTCTAATCCCCATCCTTTTAAATTAATATAATAATCAAATTCCTTTTCAAAACAAGGGGAGAGAAGTGCAAATTGGTAAGAAATATTATTTGAAAACTACAGCAGCAAGGAGGCCTAGGTTCCAGGTCCTCGTTCGGTGCTAGAGTTTTGTAGGTATACCTATGCGAGTTTTAGCATGCAAAGTGATGGCAAAGTTACCAAAGGTGGAGGTAACAAAACAGTGAATTGTAAAACGATTACCCTCAAGAATTTTGTGAATCATAGTGGAGAGGGGACACAATTAACATAAAATGTAAAATAAGTATCCAGACCCTGACACTGAGTGAAATTCTCTTGAAAAACGATTAGTTTGGATGGGGGATTTCCAAGTATCAGGGGATTTAAGCTAAATTAGTTAGATATGCACTCAGAACCATTATGCGGAGTGATTAAGAATGCATTGCACAAGCATTACAAAACCACTAAAAAAAGGATTTTCAAATGACTCATTTCCAGTAGTCATTTACAAAATCCCTTAAGTGCACTCCATCTTTTGCTACGGACACATAAGCAAGAAAATCCAGCTATATACTGTTTTGTAGTGTGTTTCTTACAAACGTATCCCAAATTCAACATAAAGGGTTACATGAAACACATGGTGATCTTAATCGCGTATGCAAGTGACGCTAAAGTAATGACTAAGCAACCTAGTTGAGAATTAAGAGTTTCATATACCTGCCCAGAACAGGGAAGGCTAGGGGCCGTCGTCGTCAATTGCATTGCGAGGTATCCATCATCAAAAACATGGTGACAACAACAACCAGCACTAGACTCTACTGAAGACATGGGCTTGGCCTCCGGATTTCTGGAATTGTTGTTGACAGCAGCGCTCTGAGAAGCCCTAAGCACGGCACTTCTAATGTTACTGTAAGTGGACCGATTAGTCCCTAGCTTTTGGAGCATAGAACGAAGAGACATAATCACCATCCTTGCTTCCCAGTTTGTCAGCATTATACATTGTTATCACATTAACAAATACACAGAGTGTGTGCATAACTACAAGAATCTCGATCAAATTTACTACAAAGTATGCTTTCACTACAGCCTAAAACAACTTCATGCACAATTGAAACTACGAAAATCAATCCCCAAATTGCCTAACCCTAACTATAAATCCCAAATTTCCTAACCCTAAAATAAACCCCAAATCAATTACAAACAAAATCAAGCTTTAGAGAGAGAGGGATATTGACCTGATTCGTAGGGTAGCAAGACGAAGGGCATCAGGGAGGAGTGAAAGGAGTGAAGAGGTGAGGAATATGAATGTTTGCTACCTGTCTTTGTTCACAAAACCCCGAAAGGGATCCATAAATTTGCTCTGCCACCCCTCAAAATACAGTAAATTCATAAATCGCCCTCCGAAAATCGCGACTACCCACTCCTTACCCACTTTTCTCTATTTACTTTCTAATGTGATTAATGTTGTTCTTGAATTTTATGATTGCACGTCAATTTGGTCATCTCGTTTATATTTCATTAATTATTCTATTAGTATGTTGATGAGGCATCATGTGAATCTCATTGATCTAATCATATATGTTATGTGGATTAACTATTAAAAACTATATTTTTTTTAAGATTTATTATTTTATGTAGCATGGAAAGCCACATGAAGGTGCACCAATGCCATGTAAAAAGTTATGACTATTAGGATTGTCAAAACTAATCAATGATGATTTTCATTGATGATGGCATGGGGACCGGTTGGGTGTATGGTTAGAATAAAAAATAGAATTGGAATTACCCAGTTGGAGAAAGTGAATGCAAAATGGGATTGCGTGGAGATCTCGGGTCGGAGAAAATAGAATAGACTTCTTTATTTTTTTCACTGTTCTAAAATTCTCTGCCTATAGCTGCCTAGGCCCCGCCTAGATGCTAGGCATTTGAAAATTTTATTTTGCACTTTAATTTTTCAATAAAATGTAAAAGACTTGTTGAATACTTAGATGAACACTTATTATATACTTGTTCCCCATGTTTTCAATATGATCTAATACTTTATAACCTATATGTCATTTTATTTTGCAATTTATGTATCTCAATACAATTATGTATGTTTTTTTTAAGTATAAATAGACACTTATTTATCCAATAATATAAAATTTTACTTCAATCCGTCTAGGCCCCCGCCTAAGCCCTGCCTAGCCACTTAGGCGCTAGGCCCCAGCCCGTCGCCCGATTAGCGTCTAGTGTCTTTTAGAACCTTGATCTTTTTACTTACAAAGGGGTATCCCTTAAGTGACTTACTTTAATTATTTTGTTTTAAATGGCTTGGCTGCCACTTAGTATTATGGTCTAGTGGTATTCCTCTACACTTGTTAAGTGAGAGGTCTTAGGTTCGATTCTCGCCAAAGGCGAATTTGAACCACATTATTGTTAGCCCATTGTGAGGCTTAGCCCACATCATCCCCCTTCGTATAGATAATATCGTTTGTTAAAAAAAAAAAAAAAAAGACTTGGCTCAAAACTTTTAACCCAAGTCTTTTAGTAAACTAAATAGTAAAACATGCATCCGGTCTTTTAGTAAACTAAAAAGTATTCTTCTCCTTTGCTGCATTATTCTCCTATAATACATGCCCAAACTGGTGTGGTCCTCGGAGGTCTCACAACCACTGATCGGGGTTGTCGAGTGGTCTAGGGACCACCCGAGTCCCTTAATGCATCCGCCACTGGTAAGAGTTGTGAGTTCAATAATCACATATTATATCAGAAAATGAGTAATGATACTACATGATGGTATGACAATCAAACCAAAAAATTACAACTTCAATTATTACCTCTTTCTTTTCCTTGTATTTTCTTGGTAATTTAATGGGATCACACGGTTATGAGTTGGTGAGTTTAACTAAAAAGTTGACGGAATTGAAGGTTATGGTTAACGTGAGACACGAGTGAATACTAAATTTAGTGAAATTCGGGCTATTTATAAATCATAAGCTAATGCGATAATTAACTATTTCGCTAAATAATATTCCGGACACACCTTCAATTTTTTTTTTTTTTTTTTTTAATCAAACATATTATACCTTCAAATTTTATTAGAGATGAACGGGTTATCTCTCTCATAGAGATTTTTTACGAGTGTTGCTCAAACTGATGTCACAAACTAAATTGGAGTCACTTTATATTAGAATATAAGGGTCTGGTAGTATTGTACTCCATTTGTAAATATGAGATTTTAAAGCCGAATCTTGTAAATAACGAGTTCGATATTAAACAATGATAGACCTATCATGTCCAAAAAAACAAGGCTAAATTGGCGAGATAAAAACACATGAACTAATATTGGACCCTGAGCAGAGCCCAATTACCAAAAAGATCAGAAAGACAACACAACATGCCCAAAATTATACACAATTTGTGGCCCAGCCACAAACTTTGAATTTCTATTGCTTTTTAGCTACGAAACTCATCAATCCGAAATTATTAATGCAAACTCATCGACCATACCAAGCACCACATCTGCCAAAAGAATTTTTTCCGGATCAGAAGCAATTCTGACTATGCTCAAGGAAAAAAACTTGCTGGCGTTTTTGATTCACAAAAACAAAAAACTCTTTTTAAAGAAGCCTAGCTGCTTCTTGCGGAAGCACTTCCAACTCTTTTCCAAGAAGCACTTGGAGTTGTAACAAAGTTTCAATGGTTTCTTATTAAAAGCGCTTCTAAAAAAAGTGTTTATGAGCATAAGCATTTTATAATACAACCAGCACTGACAATTCTAGATTTTCATGTTTACGACATTTCATTATAAGTGAGCATAAAAATACATGAAGATCATACACTTGATAAGCAGCAAGCAACAATATTCAATCTTTCATTACTCCATTTGCTAATATTGATGCTCACTTCATAATCCGACAATATTTCCGGCAATAATCCGACTCTAAATGCTAATCAACCATTTACCGATAATCGCTACTCTCTCCTTACATCATGATTTCACAAACTGACTCGACTACTATGTCACAAACACCACAAGAAACAGATCATTCACTCCAATCTACCATTTTTAATACAAATTTGCCAACATGGGTTGTTTTGTTTATTACCTTAGCTGCTACAATCACTGTTATTGTTGTTGTTGCTACTACGATGGTTACTAGCATTCCCAACCCCGTTAACCCCGCTTTTTCTTCCACTCTTCAGCTGAGAAATCTCCACCTGTGTCTTCATGAAAAACTGCAGCCTCTGCAACTCCAACTCCTTGGCAAACTTCATCCTCTGCTTCTCCATCTCCACCACCTGCTGCAGCTTTGCTGACTCCGCATGCTCATAAGCCTCCCCAAACTTCAATATCGCTCGAGTCAGTTCCCTCACCGAGCTCCCACACCCTCCTCCTCCTCCTCCTTTCTCTCTACCCACCGCACAAGGTCTTAATCCACCCCCTACCCCTTTCCTCACGCTCGCATTGGCATTGACATTGACATTGGCATTGGCATTGGCATTGGCAGTCCTCCTCTTACGCTCGAAAATCTCATTATCAATTGAAATAGGCGAAGGCTCCCGAGACTCGTCTGAGTCCGATTCTACCAAATGCCTTTGTCTAATCTTTCCCTCCCGTTTCGCCCTACCCCCGAGAAATTGGCTATGTCGAAGCCCGACCGGCATTTTTTTGCTATGCCCCGAAAACCCACTACTACCACCGCCGCCAGCAGACCCAGGACCCACCTTAGCACCAGAGGGACCAATCAAATGATCAAGTCTCTCATAAAAAGGCCACTTGCTGGGTCCTCCTCCGGCCCCAATCTTCGATTTTTCCAGTTTATACTTCTTCTTCACAGTATCAATCCTATTCTTACACTGTATGTCAGTCTTTGGAATCTTACCGTAGTTCTCCCTGCTGCTCACGACGTCCGCCACCTCCTTCCAGTGTTTCTGCTTCAAATTCCCCCTGCTCAGCTCCAAGTACCTCTCCCCCCACGCCTCGATCAGCACCGCCGTCGCCCCTTCGCTCCAGCAATCTTCCCTTCCTCCGCCGCTGCTCCGTCCTTGCTGCTGAGCCGACGACGGCAGAGCTAGGGTTAGGATTTTGTTCTGAGTCGGCGTCGGCGCTTGAACCTGCGCCGGCGGCACCGCCACCGTCACCGTAATCCGACCGTTCTGCCTCGTCGACGCCGGCGATCGGCTTCCTCCCGACGCCGGTGACTGGATCTCGTCGTCCTCTTCCATCGATACGACTGCAATCGTGCGCGGATCTGGATCGGTCCGGTCTAGATCCAAAATCCGGTAGTAAACTGCGCCGGTGCGTAGACTATCACCGATCTGAGAGCTGGCACTGGTTCAGAGGGATTGAGGAGAGTAAGGGTTTTGTGGTGGGTGCTATCGTGCGCCGGAGGTCGTAGGATATGAGATATCGGCGATGTGAACTTTAGGTTTTGTGGGGTTGGAATGCTTTTAGTGCGAAGAGAGAGAGTAGGTGTTTTGGGTTGACCGGCTTCTCGCGTTTACGGAAAACGTTAATTTGGTGTTTTTTGTTGGGTTGCGTATTCTCGGTTGACGGAAAAAACTGAGGGAGTCAAGGGACGCAGAGAGAGGGGCGTTGGGGTTTGACGGCGTCCGTCGAGGGGTACATAAGGTGAGGACACGTGGTAGGGTAGGGGACCCGGCAGTCGAGATGGCGGGATTTAATTGGGGAAGAGTAGAGTCCCCCGTCACCGGCGTCACGGAACAGCCGGCTCGGGAGTAATTGACGCAAAACTCCATGGTGTTTTGCTGCAATTACCGGTGCGGTCATTACCTCACCTGACATTGATTCGGCTGGGGCTTCCCTGATCTGAATTCTGGTGTTTCCGAAATTATTAACTCCTAATGGGGAAAATAATCTTTTTGTTAAAAGTTATTTATTAGTACAAACACAAGGATCAAGGACAATCCTTTTGTTATATGAGAGGTAATTTATTAGTACAAACATCAAAGATCAAGGACAAACATCATAGAACTAACATCAAAGTTAATAGTTTGACTAGTTATTATTCGGATAAAATAAAACATCACAATGAATTGAGAGTTGCATGTGTGAAAGTCAGATTACTCAAATACAATGAAACTCGTTTTCATGTGAGTGTCGTATTATTCACTTGGTCATATTATCGTACTTAAATTTCTCTTAACATTAACTCGTTTTCACATTAGTGGAAAAAATCAATTCACACAAATTGATACGAAGGAAGGAAAGGTATCATTTGTCCAAACAATTCACACAAATTACAACCAAAGATCAGACGAAAAGAACATGAAAATAAAATCAATTTGCTAAGGCTAATAAAGTAATTTAGATGAGGTAGTTAAAAACATCAAGCGAGTAAAGCAAGGTCCCGCATTCCGGTTGGGTTGGCAATTGGAATTGCGTTCTTCACACTTCACGACTGCTTTCCTCTGTCACCGTTTACCGCCTACCATTTCCATTTCCGCACAACAAACTAAAATAGGCTCTAGGAATGCTACATAAGTCGGTCACTGTTTAATGTTATTGATAATGACCGACAGTTGTCGGTGACCGCTGGTCAAGCCACAAAAAGGGGAACGGGCTAATGTAGGTCATAGGTAAAGCTAGTTGGGAGCTAGGACGATGTCAGTCAGGCTGTCCACAGGGTTGCACGGTCAAGGCCGGCTCTGATTGATTGGCTACGTCTGACATGGAGTTATCCTCTTTTTTTTCCTTCCCTCCCTCCTCTCCAATTTGAACGGTCACAGTTAAACCACATCAACATCTTGTATTAATTTTTTATAAAATGAGAAAGACAAAATAAAGAATGTGAAAAGAAGGGATTAGGGGCGGGTTCAAAAAAACCGAAAACCGAAATAAACGAACCAGACTGAGGTCGAAAAAAACCGAACCGAATCGAATCTGGCCAGTTCAATTTCGGTTTTTGAGGTTTGGAAACTGATCCAAACCGATATATATATATATATATATAATTATTTTTTTTCAATGTTTATAAATAGTTTAGTCATACAATCATAACAAAACAGAACCTGTTGCAAAGTTCTTTTCAGTGAGTTCGAACTGTCCTCATGCCTCCTGGATTTTGGAGATTTTTTTTAATTTTTATGACCAAATCAACAAAACCCTAGAGCAACCGCACCCTTTCTATTTTTCATTCCCCTTTTCTCTCTCTTTCCCTGCCTCCAGACTCCCTCTATATCCATTTCTCCATTCTTCTCCATAACCCGCATCCTCCTTTCTATTCTAAGCTTCATATTTGTGAGACCCTCCATGTCCATACCTCCACTTTCTCCATTCTTTTCCATAACCCGTATCCTCATTTCTATTCTAAGCTTTATATTTGTGAAACCCTCCATGTCCATGCTGCCAATTTCTCCATTCTTCTCCATTATATTTCCATGACAGTAATTATTTGTTTGATTGCATATTTGATTTGCAACTTTATATTGCAGATTTGTATTGCAGCTTCGTATTGCAGATTTGTTCGATTGTTTGTTGTGGGTTTGTTAGTTATTTGAATTTCAGATGAATAAATGTAATTATTGCTGTGAGTTGTTGTCACATCCTGACCTGGGCCCCCACCACATCCCGGGCTTAACTCTACCGTAACACGATATTGTCCGCTTTGGGCCCTAACCATGCCCTCATAATTTTGTTTCTGGGAACTCACACGAGAACTTCCCAGTGGGTCACCCATCATAAGAGTGCTCTCGCGCGCTACTCGCTTATCTTCGAAGTTCCCATGGACCCGAAGCCAGTGAGCTCCCAAAAGGCCTCGTGCTAGGTAGAGATGGGAATATACGTATAAGGCTTACAGGATCCACTCCCTTGGGCGATGTGGAATGTTACAATCTACCCCCCTTAAGGGCCTGACGTCCTCGTCGGCACACACGCAACCAAGGTTAGGCTCTGATACCAAATTGTCATATCCCGGCTCGGGCCCCCACCACATCCCTAGCTCAACTCCACCGTAGCACGATATTGTCCACTTTGGGCCCTGACCACGCCCTCACGGTTTTGTTTTTGGGAACTGACACGAGAACTTCCCAGTAGGTCACCCATCACGGGAGTGCTCTCGTGCACTACTTGCTTAACTTTGAAGTTCCCATGGAACCCGAAGCCAATGAGCTCCTAAAAGGCATTGTGCTAGGTAGAGATGAGAATACACATATAAGGCTTACAGGATCCATTCCCCTAGGTGATGCGGGATGTTACAGTTGTGGATTAAGATAGTATTTTGATGGATTATGTGCTTGTGTTGCTCTTGGTATTGCAGACTTGCAAATTTGTTTCTTTTCAGATACATTTCTTGACCAATTTCCAGATTTACTTGTTTATCAAGTTCCAGATGTCTGCTTCTCTTTTTGTTGTTGGGGCTTGGTTGGTCTTCACTTCTGGTGTTTGTTGGGTTGCTGGTTCATGGTCGTCGGAGCTTGCTTGGATGGCGGCTAGGGTTTTCAGTTTTTTTTCTTTCTTTTTCGGGCTCAACCCTTGGGTTGGGTTGTTGTGCTGGCCAATTTTTATGTTTATGTTTAGTTGTGGGCTTTTCTTATTTATGTAAGTTTAATGAAAGTTTACCTTTTATTAAAAAAAAACAAAAAAATTGAACTGGAAAAAACTGAACCGAAAAAATCGAACCAAAATTTCAGTTCAGTTTTGATTTTGGCAAAAAACTGAACCGTTTCAAACCGAACCCAGCCCTAGAGGGGATGGGAAGAGGAGGGAAGAGAATCCTAGTCTGTCTGACATGGATGTTATCTGATTGGCTACGTCTAACGTGGATGTTAAAGTGCCGGTAATACTGACTGAGGATCTTCTTCAGATCTTGATTTTAGGAATTCTCCAATTACATCCGTTTATTGTATATTGTGCGGCTAAAAATCATTATAAATCTTTTTATTTAAAATTAAATATAAACAGTACCTGATGAAAACTAGCCGCACAATATATGATAAACATATGTGATTGGAGGATCCTCAGATCCTTACAAAAAGGATCCTCACAAAGAAAATTTGGAGAGGATCCTCATTTGTAGTACTTGACGACTTTTGTGGCATCAAAGTATAGGGAAGGGGGGACTGCACTCTAATCAGCATGCTACCCCTTGAACTGGAAAGGGATCCTTTCCGAATCCCTTCCACAAAATCCACCAAATGAAGGGATTTGGGCCTTGAAAATTGTTCCAATGGCTACAAACAAGGGTCTCCTTTAAAATATAATAATTTTAGCCGTTGGATCAAATTTCAAGGGTCCAAATCCCTTGATTTGGTGGAAGGGATCCGGAGAGGATCCCTTTCCCTTTGAACCCATTTGAAAGCTTACTTTGATAAAGCACATGGCCTTTAAGGGAAAAGATTTCTATTTTTTAACATGTTTGAGAGCTTACTTTGGATAAAGTACAGGCCCTTTAAGAGAAAAAATTTTCATTTTTTAAAAAATTAAAATTAGTTGTGGAACTCACTTCACTTCAAACTTCTCTATTTATGATTATTGAAAAAATTGAATTCAATTTGAAATCATTTGCCTATTTAATTATCACGACGAAATTTCAATGTTTTCTTAGAACAAAGTGTTCTTCAATTTTTTTGAACTCAATTAGATATTTCAAATATTTCTGATTTGGCTAATACTTTGCAAGGATAATCTATAAGGAGCAACTTGAAAAATAAATTGTTCGGATAATTAAAGTTTGACGCAATATAGATCCCACTAAAAATGAGAATCTCTTTTCTTAAAGGCCTCATGATAAAGTAATAGTGGGGGAAGGAAAAATCAAACCTAAAAAATTTAGTGTGTAGGAATATAAGGGTTATAAAATATCTTTTACTTTTTAAGTAATTTTAATGTAACTATATTATGGTAGCATAGATTATGTTTATTTGAGAAATTCACCATTCAGGTTGGCTTTAAGACCTAAGAGTCGAGAGTGTAATGAAGTGGCTCACAGTTAGTAAGATTTGCTATCGAGTTAGAAACTTCTAGATTTAGGTTTCGGAAGCACAATGACTTATTTGAGAGTCGAGAACGCAATAAGGTAGCTCATAATCTAGAAACATTTGATATCGAGTTAAAAACCCCTAGATTTAGATTCCGGAAGCAAAAATACTTGCCTATATTAGGAAAACTAGCGAAAAGTAAAAAAAAAATCCCTTTTAATGAAAAGCCCATTTTTAAAGGTATAGTGAATAGTATCAAGAAAATGTATAAATATGATTTTTCGTTAAAAATGAATAGTACCGGAAGTGTTTCGTTAAACTACCCTAATTTCTTTGGTCCCGTTGGGACGGCTAACTGCACTCTTAACACTTTTTTGCAATGAGTATATTTTCATATTTTTTCACACGTGCCAAGATATAAGATGTGACATCACATAATGTGTAAGCAAAATAGATAATGTGTATATTCTGATTGAAGGTAAGTTTTAAATTTCAACTTCGAAGAATAAATCCTCTTTTGCATGAGGACTTCGATGTTTCCCAATCATATTGATTAATAAAATTTCGGTTCTATATTAAAAACGAATAAACACTAGAGAAAACAATAACTATATCAACCATTTGTGAATGAGGAGGACGAAGCCCACATTCCATTCTAATGTATGAACATAACATCGGAAAAAGTGATGGGGTGCACTTCCCTTTACAAAAAAAAATTAGGGATGCGATTTTCGTACTCTCCTTTTTCTTTTGACGCTCTTCATTTAGGATTGAATAAATCAGATAAAATTTAGGAACAGAAACAAGGTAAGGTTTGCAGAAAAAGAAAACCGAAATGTCAATCACTACGCATAAATTATTCAACGAAATTCCTGGCACAAACAAATTTCATGAAGTCACTTCTTTAATTAGTGTTTGAAGCGTAAAACTGGCAATATAGGACCTGCTACAAGAATGGCATAGCTTTCGTTTGCTTCCTAACCAAAAAATGTCCTACTCTCTCCTTCCTATCAAAAGAATTCTATTCTATGTGGCTTTGGCATACCTATCAACAGCAAAGTTGCGTGTTGCACTCGGCAGTTCAAGGCATATTCCGTCAAGTTCGGGTTTTGCAACCATTTGACAACCCAGACGGGACCTGCAAACAAATACCGTCTTTTAGAATTCATATCTATTTCAACTATAGCTCTGACAAAATTTTCCCTGCAGACAATTCCAAGATATAGGGGGCTTACGTCTCGGTGAGCCCGAAAGCAAGATCCAGCATGTCGTTTTCCTCATCAGTTGGATCTTCGAGTTTATTGTAGTATTCCATATCCTAACCAAGAATTCTACAAGTTAGTTCAGATGGAAATTTTGGTGGGAGAAATGGAAGCCTAGAAGGCAACTTTCACTTGATACTAACGAACAGAAATCAGTTCATTTTTCATGTCTCCTTGTATCCAGTGAATATTGCCTTCCTAGTATGATTCTTCATCTCCAAACATCAGGTTTCAATGTACAATAGTACATACTCTCACAATCACATGACATGTTGAGCAAGCGCACGATCCTTCACATGCTCCTAAGATCACATTAAAACCAACTAGTTAGGAGGTAGTGCCACGCTGTTGCTTAGTTGACCAACTCGATTCAATTCAGCCAAGCCTTGGTTCTAATCACATAAGTTCAATTTCCTAGTCATCTTATCCGTTCAATCCTAACAAGCATTTTAATAGTCTCATTATAAAACAATCTTGAAGGGCAAGCTCACGCATCAACACCACTAAAACAAAACTTATCGGCGTCTATAATCTATATAGAGCCCAGAAAAGTACTTAATAAAAGTTAGAATCATATTAAAACAAGAGGAATCAAAGTGGAATGCTCTGTGGTATAACATCAAATGACATGCCAGAGTACCTTCAAGTTCTATGTCATTTTCATGAGCAGCTTCTAGTATGGACATTCCAACGGGAATCTTAATATGCTTCTCCATCTCATCCTTGTCAACAAATGTGACAGAAATTCTGCACATTCGAAAAGAAGGTTACAGAAATCAACGAATAAGATATAAGGGTTCCGGTACCACATATTTAGTTGCAGGATAGCACTAAGGATGAGAGCTCATCTTTAATGAAATAAGCCAAATAAGGGAATTCTCTCCAAATTGTTCACTGGTGATTGAAACAATATATAAGGATTTGTGGCTACAAGTCCAATACGGTTCCTTTATATGAAACAAGAACTTACTCTTCTACTTTTTTATCCCCCTCTTCATGAGCAGTTGTCGAAGAGTAAGTTTGATGCTTCTGGAAAAAAGACGAGCGAGATTTGGGGTCAGTGCGAGAAATTGAAAATGAGACAAAGTTCCGTATAAGAAAATTCGTTAGGAAGCTAACCGGATTGTGGAAAATATAACCGTAGCGTCCACTGAAGTTTCCTGTCTTTGGTGCAGACGTCAATGGAGCTGGAAAAGCACAAAAATTAGTTCTGAATTATTTTTAAGGATACCAACTTAAACTACAATTTAAAATCACAAGAGAACCTCCACTGCCTTACTGGAATCATGAGATAACCTCCACCTAAGCAGTAGACTAATTGTACAGTTGTACCTTAATCGATTTAAAAAGACACAAATAGACTAAAACTCTATGTTTTTGTATAAAACTTGGAACGTTAAACAACCCATCATTCCTGCCAACGATCCAACATAGCAGACATCAGCCTCCTATCACATGTATCTAGCCACATGTCGACAGGAACAAGCACGGAAGAAGTGAATATTAAATTTAATAAGGGGCTGATCATTTGGGATGGTTGATCATCTGAGACTACTGGAAAAAGCAGACTAAAGATAGTGAAAAAAAAGGTACAAAACAAACACCTTTTACGAGATGCTTGATCATCTGAGTTCTGACCGCAGATAGTCTAGAAACAAGCATGTTGACAGGAACCACTTAGAAGCACCTGGGAAACATGAACAAACGAAGCATCACAAATGAACCAAAAAGAATAAAAACTGAAACGTTTTCGTATGTCTTTCATGCAAAGTAACTCTGTAAAGCAAAGAACTTGGTTTATGTGATTGAACGAGAAAATGAAGTTAGTACGAATTTGAAGCAAATTCGGTATAAAGATTGAGAATGAGACTTCAGCGGCAATAACGCAAACAGATGGTCGGCACCCAAAAGAAGGGGGCAATGCGAAAACACTTACAATATCATTAAATCTCAAAAAGTCTGGATACAATATCAACCATAGACTGCATGAATCATTCTAACACAAAGCTTATTTATTTTTTTATGAAGAAAGAAACGGAAGCATGCCGCATGGACGACGGACCTCTATGATCTTTTTTCAGGCAGAAGTCGAGCGTCTGTGCCTACACAAGAATGTCGCCAAAGCAGATGTAAAAAATTACCTTTTTAATTAGGTGTACTTTTTCAATTTTAGCCTTTAGTTTATCTTTTTTTTTTTTTTTTTTTTTTTAATTTTTTTTAATTAGGAAAGATATTCCACTCTAATCTAAACGAGGCCCGAGGATTTGAACCTGAGTCATTTTGTTTATTATCTGTAGTGTCAGAGAAAAGAATGAATACGGGTCTTTCTGTTTATTATTTATAGTGTCAAACAAGAGAAGAAACGTAGATATGAGAGTTTTGAGAAAGTAAGAGAATTACTTTTTTGCTTTTTATCTTTTTGTATTGAACATATGATACATCCATACATATATATAGTGATTTTAACCTAAAATCGTTTTTAATTTATATATAAAACTTAGGCATTAAAATAATAAAAACCAAACTTCTACTAAGCCGTATAGTTTTTACTTCTATTTTTCCACCTTTCATCCTCAGTTATATGTGGTTGTTTGCTTTACGGGGATTCTCACCAATTTCGTAACAAAATGTTAATTCTCTACAATTGGATGTAATTGTTTGGCACTCAAATAGCAAAATAGTCATAAATGATTTTCTTTTTCTTCATTTTCTCTACGGCTAAATCGCCAAAATGGTCCCTAAGATTTGTATAACTCATCACTTTGGTCTCTGAGATTGAAAATCAATAGAATGATCCCTGAGATTGTCCACCATCCATCATTTTGGTTCTTCTGTTAAAAACTCTTTGGGCAATTTTCAAAGCTTCGTAACTCAATCACTTCTTAACCAAATTCGACCCATAATATATCAAAATGAAGTTAGGAAAGTGTAGAACAAGATTATACCTATTTGGAAGCCCAACGGTTTCCAGAGATGGCCGGAAAATAGTCTCAAAGGTGACTGGTCCGCGAGAAAACTTGAAAACTCGCCGTAAACTGGGTAAACTTTAAACGTTCATAACTTCTTCAATACTCAACGAAATCGAGTGATTCAAAAACAAAAATCATACTTGTCGACAAGATGAAGAGAATGGTACCTTTATTGATTGCTAATTCACTGTGGTTTGGCTGGAAAACGGCTCGAAAGTGGCTAACCATTTTCTAGTTAGCCACTTTCGAGCTGTTTTCCGGCCAAACCACAGCGAGTTAGTAATCAAGAAAGGTACTATCTCTTTGTCTCATTGAGGCGTATGATTTTTGTTTTTAAATCACTCAATTTCGTTGATTATTGAAGAAGTTATGAACGTTTAAAGTTTACCCAGTTTCTGGCGAGTTTTTCAGTTTTCCCGCGGACCAGTCACCTTTAAGGCTATTTTCCGGCCATCTCCGGAAATCATTGGGCTTCCAAATAGGTATAATCTTGTTCTAAACTTTCCTATCTTCATTTTGATAAATTATGGGTCGAATTTGGTTAAGAAACAATTGAGTTACGAAGTTTTGAAAATTGCCCAACGAGTTTTTAATGGAATGACCAAAATGATGGATGGTGGACAATCTTAGAGACCAAAGTGAAGAGTTATACAAATCTCAGGGACTATTTTGGCTATTTAGCCTTTTCTCTACCTATTTGCAAGACATTTCAAGATAACAAGTCTCAATTTGATGATTGTGCTAGTTAAATTAGGAGTGGATGCAGTTTGGTTTGGTACAGTTTAGACCTCAAGCTGCAATTGAACTAGGACATCACTATTTGATATGATATGGTTAGGTTTAAATGCAATTAGTAGTGTAATTAAATCAAACTAAATCACAGTGACCGGCTCACGCTCATCTTACTTACATTTAACACTTTAGCTTTTCTTATGCCAAGCCTCAATAAGGCCTCGTTTGATATATAAGATTGAATTTTTTGTGTAATTCTAATTGAAAGGTATCTTGAGAGGAGAAATGAAAATTTTATGTTCAAGTAGAGGGTAGAACAGGGGTGGATCCATGTAGGGGCAGGGGCAGTCAGTTGAGCCTCCCAATTTTGGCAAACCTCAATGGGAGACCTAGTTCTGGCCTTTTGAAAGTTGTAGCTACTCTTTCAAATTGCCTGCCAAATGCTTGATAAATTGCCTCAATGAAAATGAGCAGGGCATGCTATGTTTGTGTGCGTGCTAGTTTTGGGCGCTAGTGTTTTGCTGCTACTTAGCTATACCCCCAAGTTAGTTTTTCCCTTCTACTAAGACCATCTCCAACCAAATGAGGGCCAGAGGGCTCGTTTTAGCCCTCTGGCCCTCCAAGAAATTAATATTTTAATAAGCAGTGCATGACCATATTTCTTACCATCTCCAATAGAGGCCCAAAGGGCCATAGGGCTCGTTTTATCCCTATCATAAAAAACCGTCTTCAATCGAGGGCCAAAGGGCTATAGTATGGAATTTGAAGAATTGAAATAAAATGAGATAAAATAGTATGGCATGGTGAAAAATATGTGAGAAATGGTGCAGGAAAAAATTAGAAATTATTTAAAAAAAAAAAGTTTGTGTTGGGACAAACCCTAAAGTGGGTTGGGCAAATGGAAAAGAACAAAAAAAAAAAAAAGTAAGTAGGCTAGCAAGCGGGCTGGTTGGCTAGCTGAAGATGGCCATTCGGTTGGCCTTTTGGCTCTTTTTTGTCTTGTGGGGCCCATGAGCTCTTTGGTCTAACCCTTGGTTGAAGACGGTTTTCGGGCTATTTTTGGCCCTCTTGCCTTCTAGACCTTTTGGTTGGAGATAGTCTAAGGCCTGACTTTGAACCTTTGGTGCTTGTCACCTAAAAAGAAAACTAATTTACATAAGAGAAGCAAACCGATATACAATGATAAAGCTAATAAAATTCCAATTGCACTAACCCCAATGAAATTATAAATAATAGAACTATATATTTTAATTTTAAGGCCATTATTTGTCTAAAAAAATGTTTGTGAACTTTTACACGTGACCCTCTAAATGATTTTTTTATTATTATTTTTAATTCGCTACTAGGTAGAAAATGGATTACTTATGAAGGAAACTTATTTTTTCCATTCTATTTAAAATGTAAAATTAGAGTAAATGAGTTTTCTTCATGCCTAACCCTCTTCTAATCCCCCAAAATGAAGAATCATTCACTCCTACACTTCAATATTCTTTCATAGTATGGAGTTACACATCATTCCAATTCAACCCAACATTAGCAAACAAGCCTGGAACCTCTCCTTTTGGATTAAAGAAAAGAAAGACCACTATTGAAGCTCAAAACTACCCACTTTTCTTGGTTTGAGCCCAAAATCTGAACCCAATTTGTCTAGCATCAAAGTTGATGCAAAGGCAGATTGAATGTGAATTATAAAAAAAAGTTTAGCTTAAGCTTATATGTTTGTCTTTGAGGAAGGGCTCTGCTGAGTCCACTTAAAGCCAGCTTTACAAGCACAAGAGACACAGTTTATGGTATAATCCGCCAATTACATGGTCATTACCATATGATTTATTGTAATCATCGACCAAAGCCTAGGCCTTTTTCATGCACCTCTGTACTATAAATGAAACAAATTACAAACCTATATGCATCTACGCATTACAAGAATAAGTTGTTATTGTTATTATTATTCTTGTCTTACAGAATTATTCATTCTTCCAATCTCGACCATGGCTTCTCTTGCTTCAATTTCCCCAATCTCTGTGGTTACTCTACCTTACACCGCCAATGGCAGAAGCACAACTTGCCAACTCAATGGATTATCTAGGATTGTAAGTGCCATGATTTTTTTCGGGAATCACAGATTCTTGGGTACGTATGTCACAGTGTTTGTCGAATTGACATGCATGAACCCGTCTATTGTGAGAGATTGAGACAAGTCGCGTATATTTCAGAGTTTATGAGTGAGAATAGATAATAGAGAGAACATATTTTTCACTAATTGTATTATTTGATTATTCTCAATGCAGGGAGGGCCAGTGGTCAAGGGGCTAAGACTTGTACCAAAGATCAAGATCACTAAGGCAGCTGGAAGATCATTTGCACTCCCTAGTTGCACAAAGACTACAATCTCATGCGCCATTGTAAGTATATTTACATATATTTTTGCAAATACCTTTTTTTTACTTGGTTATCAATAACTATTATTAAGCAAAGTTTATGAATCAAAGAGGGTAAAATGATCATTATATACCCCGTTTTTATATAAATAATTAACGGGGACATGGAAATTTACACTTACTTTCTCTTGCACCCTGTTTTTTCTCCGTTTTTTTTAGTAATTTCTCAAGCAATAACTTCCATTAGCACATGCATCAGAGTTACTAGTTATAAACTCTATCGAATGCCATCAGAATTGTATGCAGTTACTTGAAACATTTTTCGGTACTCTTAATCCGTGCTTATTCTATGTACGTTCTTTTAATCATATCTCTAATCTGTGCTTAACTAGAATAAGCACTTATCTTGTTTGATTACCTTGTGCAGGCTCAACCAGAGACCCTGCTAACCGTGCAAAGCACGATTGCCAAGCAACTCTCCATTGATGAAAGCACCGTGCTTCCCGAAACCAAGTTTGTCGATTTGGGGGCGGATTCTCTCGACACAGTATGATGCTCTATCTTCATGCTTCCTCTAGCTAATTACTGTATAGTTTTTTTCTTTAGCTTTAATTGATGATGAGTGATGTTTTGGCAGTTTTGCACAACATATCAAAACATGTTAAATCGATTAGCTAGCTGTGATTTATAAAACTGTTATGGTGTTCATATAATTTCCACATGAAATAAAATTATTTTCTTTCTGTCTGCTATTGTAACCTTCAAAAAATTGTACCACTTAATTATCAATTTGACTTCTATCATGCAACTTATCGTTAATCCAATTATATAAAATGAGTAAAAATGATGCCCTGTGGGGTTAGGGTTAGCCACGTAGTGAGACAGTTAGAGGAGGTGAGAAAATGAGTCATGAATATTATAGTTTAGTGATTCAAACCCTTTCAAGGTACTCAATAAGTCATATAACAAACCACATCAAGTAATATAATTTTTCTGATATCAATATTTAGGAGGTGCATTCAATTGAGAATTTGAAAGATTTTAATGGATTATAAATTCATGGATTTTTATGAAGTTTAATTAATTTGTAGATATTCTATATAAAATTTTGATTCAATTCCCTGGAAATTTCATAGGGAGATGTGAGATTTGTGGATATTTAAAATACACTACAAAATCTATTTAATTCCATCTAATTCCTCAACTTTTTAAAATCTTTAAAATCAATTTTTAATTGAATACATATGGAATGTTATAAATGTTTTTAGAATCTTAATTGAATATATCCGGATTTCTAAAAATTTGAATAAACTATCTTAAAATCTTTTTTTTTTTTTTGGTCAAACGATAGACTTTGTAAGATTAGATGTTAGATTAGCCTCTGACAGAATTCGATCTCACGCTATCATGCAAAGACTCAAAACATTTTCACCATTGTGGTAAAGGGCCACTTGCATCTTAAAATCCTGATTGGATACATATTGAATTTTAGAGAATTACTTAAAATTCTAATTAAATACCGCTAGATTTATTAAAAGAATTAAAATTCATTAAAATCCCAATTGAATACATCCCTTAATTGGGACATCATCAATTAATTCAGAGATAAGGTAGGTATTGACTTCAGTTGGAACCCCCTCTAAATGATGGTAGTGAATAGATTAATCACCCATTAATATTGTGACGTGCAAGACCATTTGATCATATGCTTGACTAATCTCACCTTCGTTCAATAATTTACTTTTTATTTAATTATTAATTTCACTCTCTGCACATATATATCTGATCAATTAAAAAAAAAAACTGAAACAGGTTGAAATCCTAATGGCTTTGGAGGAGAAGTTCGGCGTGTCCGTCGGAGAAGGAGGAGCCGAGAACATTGCAACCGTTCAAGACGCTGCTGATCTGATTGAGAAAGTGAAATCTGCTTCAACTTAGGGGCCTCCAGAGTTGATGTCAAGACAATTAATTCCTTGTATCAGTCAAATTTTGTTTCTTTTCTTTTCCCTATAGATTTTCCCTTTAGATTATGTCAAAGCTCCAGTGAGGTCGTGACGTATAATTTCCATTTGGAACGAAATGCATTTTGTTTGACAAATAAATATAAGAAACATTGTACTTTTCCTTTTAAATAATAAATTAGTCTTAGGTTATATCTCCGCATGACAGTAAAGGGCTCGAACAGCGACACTCTTGAATATTCAAGATGTCAATTTTCATCAATTAATGCATAATTGTGTGTAATTATGTTGATTCTAATAACTATCAAGCCTATATGGCACACAGACTGAGTAATTAATGATCTAATTATGTCATTCCATTGAATGATGGGTGTGCTAACTCGACGACCGAGCTCGGTAGGTGAGTGAATGATAGTGGTGGTGGTGTCAAACGCGGTGCTAACTTCTGTGTCTCGTGATTGCGGTCGAGGAAGGAACTCGTCTCGGCTTATGGCTCCTAGAGCCTGAAGACAAGGCTACTAGTTCTCTTCAAAGTTTACGAATCGTTGGCACTGGGCTCAACCTCTGTAATTATATTTGTGCAAATTTAAGTACGCCAAACCGGTTCCAGACTGTACAAACACAAATACTCAAAAGAGATAAGTGTCTTGATTGTAAATGTGGTTCGGCCGTCTGAATGTTGAACTCTGAAATATACTTGCGAATATCCAATTATAAAATAAACTCAGCTTTTAATGTGTCGAGCGAGATAACCTGATAACACCTCACTTTGCCGAGAAGGCTAATGAAGTGACCTTAATGGTTGAGACTTGGATAAATAATCAGCCAAACTCGAAGCAGTGCTGTTAAGACTAATTGAAGGTGCTCCTCGGTCGCCTAATTCTACGGCTCCAATGCTGTTAAGACTAACTGAAGTTGTCGCTGGTTGTCAAACACAGTGCTGTTAAGACTAACTGAAGGTGTGCTCGACGAGGTTAGGACGGTTAGTGTTTTCTCAAGAATGAGAGGTTTCACGTAGAGTGAGGGTTTGTGCAAGTCATATTTGTTTGTGTGTTTGGAGAGGCTTTGAATGTTGCACATCCACTCTTATTTATAGTAGTAACTTTCCTAGTGCCGAGGTAGAATCCTTCCAGGACTAGATTTCATCGACAACCTTCTCCTTATCAGGATTGGATTTCGAACACTCCTTCTAACCCTAGGATCTGAATCTATACATGTTCCTGCTCTTTGATGGGAGTATAAAGCATATTCTCACTATCTTGCTTACCAAGGATTTCTAATAGGATCAAACTTTATCCGGAACTATCTTGAAAAGCCAGAGAGTCCTTCATTATACCGGACTCGGCCAGATCATTTTGAACTGGGCCGAGACCTCATTATGGGCCGAGCAAATAACTTACTCGGTCTAAATCTATTAATTTGGGCTTAAACAAATCCACATAAAAAATTTACTCAACGCCAAAATTCTAATGTTGAATGTCTGAATATTATGTTCATTTCCGATATCATATTATCAACACTGCAGGAAAAAGACATTGCACTTTGAAAATAGCTAATTCTCACACTTTTATACGCAAAACGCGTAAGGTTTTAAAGGTCTGTTTCATAACTATATATTTTCTGATTTTTAGTTTTAATCTTTTTTTTTTTTTTTTTTATGCTTGAAATATGAGGAAACTACTAGTTAAATACGAATGCGCCTATACAACTAAAAAAGAAGAAGATAGGGATCAATCAAACTCCGATTAAAGAATAAGGCTCCACTCTAGGCCAGCGGTTGCCCGCCCCTCTTTGGACCGTCAGAGCCCGTGATTTCTCCGCCTGAAGCCACCACCGCCACCAAACAAAGAGATAAGAGATTAAAAGTAAACTTTAAGTTAATTCTTAAGCTCCAAAATTCGGAGTTTCAGTGAAGGGGAGGATTCAGTACACAAATCCATATATGTACAAAGATCAAATTCAAAATACAAAACGAAACTTGAAGATCACACGGAAACATCAAAATAGGTGAAATAGCTAACCCTACTTTAACTCCTCCCTCATAATCTCCAAGGAGCATTGGTTCCTCTGCTGTTCCTTATCAGTTGAACCGTCGTATTATATATAGTAAGAATAGATAATAGATAATAGAGAGATGAGTTTTCACTAACCGTATGATTTGATTATTTTCAATGCAGGAAGGGCCAGTGGTTAAGTGGCTAAGACTAAGACTACAATCTCATGCTCCATTGTAAATAGATTTACATATATTTTTGCAAATATCCTTTTTTTACTTGGCTATCCACACTATTATTTAAGCAAACATTCTTTATGGATCAAGAGGGTAAGATGATCATCATATACCCTCTTTTTATATAAATAATTAACGGGGGACATAGTAATTTTACCGTCACTTTCCCTTGCATCCTATTTTTGCTCCCCCTTTTTTTGTAATTTCTCAAGCAATAACTTCCATTAGCACATCCATCAGAGTTACTTGTTATAAGCTCTATCGAATGCCATCAAAAATGTATGTAGTTACTTGAAAAAATGTTTTGTATATATCCGTGCTTATTCTATGTACGTTCTTTTAATCATATCTCTAATCCGTGCTTAACTAGAATAAGAATTGAATTTTACGGCTTAATTTCTATATTCCATAATTCTAAATAAATAGGTACATACAATCCTTGTTACAAAAGAAAACGAAAATAAAGGACATAATATCCTTCCTAAGACATGACTCTAATAATTAAAAAATATTTACATTCCTTTTCTCCTAAATATTGACTTATTCCAATACTCCCTCTCAAGTTGGAGCATAGATATTACTCATGCCGAACTTGACAAGCGAGTCATCGAACTGCCTACTACACACAACATGGGTAAGAATATCTGCAAGCTGTTCCTCTGAGTTCACAAACGGTATTGACACAATCTTCATCTCCAACTTTTCTTTGATAAAATGTCTATCAACCTCCACATGCTTAGTACTGTCATGTTGTACTAGATTCTCAACTATTTCTCTAGCGGACTTGTTATCACAATACAAGTCCATTGCTCCCTTATGTTTAAAATCGAAACTCCAAAGTAACTTCCGTAGCCAAAGAATCTCACACCTTGTGCCATCCCTTTATACTCGACTTTAGTAGAGGATCGTGATACCACATTCTGCTTCTTGCTTCGCCATGTGACCAAATTACCTTCAACAAATGTAAAATACCCAAATGTAGACCTTCTATCAATCGCATCACCTGCCTAATTAGCATTTGTAAATCCATCAATCCTCATATGTCCATGACATGCATACAAAATCCCTTTACCAGGGGCAGACTTCAAATATGCCAAGATTCTCATTACTGCCGCCATATGATCCACACTTGGTGAGTGCATAAATTGACTAACCACACTTACAACATAGGCAACATCCGAACGAGTGTAAGACAAATAAATCAGCTTCCTTACTAGTCTTTGAGACCTACCTTTGTCAACCGGTTCCTGATTTGGATGAATCCCTAAATAATGTTTCTCCACTATGGGAGTGTTCACAGGTTTACATCCCAGCATGCCTGTTTCTTTTAATAAATTCAAAACATATTTACATTGAGACAAGAAAATACCTCTAGGTGACCTAGCAACTTCGACGCCAAGAAAATATTTCAAATCTCCCAAATTCTTCATCTCGAACTCGGCAACCAAGTTTTGCTCCAACTTCATCATCTCTTTCGTATCATCACCCATTATTATCATGTTATCCACATAAATAATTAAGGCTGTCATTTTCCCACTTCTTTGTTTCGCAAATAATGTATGATCCGAGTGACTCTGATAATACCCAATCCTTCTCATAACTTGAGTAAATTTTCCAAACCATGCACAAGGTGATTGCTTAAGTCTGTAAAGTGACTTTAGCACCTTACGTACTCTGGTTTTCCCTCCAGTATTGTACCTCGAAGGAAAATCCATATATATCTGTTCTTCCAAGTGCCCATGAAGAAAAGCATTTTTCACATCAAATTGTTTTAGTGGCCAATTCAGATTTGCAGCTAAAGAAATTAGAACCCGTAATGTATTCATCTTTGCCACTGGAGAAAAAGTTTCCTGATAATCATCACCATAAGTTTGAGTATAACTATTTGCTACTAACCTTGCTTTATACATGTCTACTGATCTGTCTACCTTGTATTTGATTGTAAAGACCCATCTACACCCAACCGGTTTCTTTCCTTTAGGTAGCTCTGTTACCTCCCATGTATCATTCTTATGTAATGCCATCATTTCTTCATCCATTGCAATAGCCCATTTAGGATCCTTCAAGGCCTCCTCAACTCGGGTTGGTGCTTGGATTGCTTCCACATTATTTACCCAGGCTTGGCGTTCCAGGGCAAGGTTCGAGCATGATACTTAATTAGCTATTGGGTACTTCACTTTTCCTTCAGGAGAAAACCTGTCAAGAGGAACACCATGATATTGCCTTAGTGGCAACTTATATGTACTCATAATGTTATCTGGATTAGTTACATGAGTATCAGTGGTACTTACCTTGGGGATATTCAGAGTAAACATATTGGGTGGCACTATCGAACTTGAGAGAGAGGGGGTGTGGGTTCAGTAAGCAATGGTGTGACTGGTTCAGTAGCTTTCTACCGACATTCTTCATCACACTCGGCAAGTTGTTGTTGAGAGGACTCAGAGGGTTCGGTGCTTGGTGATTGAAGAAAACTCCAGTTCTCGGCATCCTCTTGCCTAGAGCCCTGATTGTCTCATTGCCGAGAGCTTTCACAGCTCCCTTCTTCAATACACTTTCCCCCTGAGCTACATATTTCCAACCACCCAAGATCACCAATAATATTCTACCCCTGGTGATTAGAAGGTGATGTAATCGAACCATAAAAATACTCAGATTTAGAAAAAGTAACATCCGTAGTCATGTACATATGGCAAGTTTCAGGGTGGTAGCACTTATACCCTTTCCGTTAAGGAGCAAAGCCAAAAAAAACACACCGGTGAGCAAATGGATCCAACTTATTACGATGAATCTTGTGAATATGAACATAGGCTACAGACCCAACTACACGAGGATTAAGAGTATTGGTGGACTACTGGAACAAATTCTGTCAACACTTGAAGAGGTGTATGAAAGTCCAAAACCCGGGATGGTATACGGTTAATTACATACACAACATAGGTGACCGCTTTAGGGCAGAACCGTTTA